GCAATTTTTGCATTGTGGAACTGTTTTTTTTTTCCTTGGGGGTTCTTCTTTTATTATATGATAACACAAGTTTTTAATATCATAAACATCTTTGTTGTTTGATTGTGGTTCCAAATCCACGAAGAATAATGGAAGTCTTACAATAGTTCGATCACTAAACTTGTTGTTAGGGTCGGCCGACTTTTTTTTTTATTTGAATGTTCGTGACAGTATGTACAAAATGTCCTAGCTCGGATAATTCGTTTTTAATATCACAGAGATCAGTTTCAGGATGTAATCCACGAATTACCACCCGAAACTTTTTTTCAGTTTTAAGTTGGKATCTATGATACTCAACTTTTTGCTCTTCTAATACTTTTATAGTTYGTCGCCTGTTAGTATCTTAATTTCACCATTAGCTAAAGTTTTCATATGTTGCTCGTGTCCTTCAGCTTCTTCGAGTTTTAAATTAATCATTAATTTTTTTAAATCGTTTACACCACATACTGTTATTGGAGGTGGTTWATGGATTTTTACAGAAGTTTCCGCTACTTCTTTCGTCACTTTGATTATTTTTTTTGGTGAACTCAAAATTTCTTTGGAGCTCCCAGCGTTCATTTCAGAAATCTGAAGTTGTAATTTCTCTTTGTTTAATCGCAATTCCGTTACCATTTGTTCAAGGTCGCATTGTCGTTTTGTATTTGTGTCCAAATACTAGCATCAACTGTTATWTYATGCGGCAGATTTGAATCGACCTCCATATTTGCATACATTTTGCAATTCGGTCAGTTTTAGTGTGACCCACTTAAAAAAAATATTTGTTTATAAAAACTTACCATCCGTCCGACAGGCCGTGGTTNTCACGACTATGAAATCTGTTAAACTTGAAAAAGTCAATAATTCAAAACAAATAAAAATGTCTTCTAATAGCTGTCCGCCTCGTTATCAAGGTAAAATTCAAAATATTTTTTTATTCATTTGTAGTTTTATGTAATAACTTAGTGTTTTTCTAAAATATTTTTATAGATGTTTCTCAGTCAGTTAATTCAAACAAGGAAAAGGATATTTTTGAACTTTCTGATGATTCAAATGATGTATCCATTGTATCCTATGACTCAGACAAAGATCCTCTTTGGAAAATTGACAAAAACCTAAGTATGTTAAGTATGTTTTTTACTATATCAATAAGATGAATTTTTGAATAATACAAAATTAATAAAATAACAAAATAAAAATATATATCAAATTTTAATTTTATTAAAATATTATATGAATAATTATTTTATGTAATATAATCTACATTTATTATTTAAGAATGAAAACAAGAAATAAGATAAAAACATCAAATGAGTTATGGAAATAAAATTAAGTAAATTAAAAAAAAAAAAAAAATAGGTATCTTCATTTAAAAGCAACCATTGAATTTTTTCTATAATCTTTAAGAAGTATTACACTCGGTTTAACTTAGTATTCAAATTATAGAAGACGATAGACAATATTAYATATGTTAATTATTACCTATTAATTAATAAATCATTTTTATCTCCATGATATTTAATGTTAGATGTAATAATTTATAATGTTTAACTTATTGTAATTTGACAAATAAATTACGATTTGCTTTTTTAATCATTATATTAAYATATCCTTTATGATATGTAATGTTTATTTTCATTTAAGCTTAAAAAGTTTTTATCATATCTTACTAAATTTAGTATTGTAATGATGTAATATATTATACTAATGAGTATTGTATTAAAATTGAAATTATATTYTTAGTTTTATTACCAAGTTATTTTGGCTTCAAAAAACTTGATATACAGTTTTTAGTAATAATTGTGTTATTGTTATAAACTTCTAACAGTAACTTTTACTTTATAGGCAAATCTGTTATTGATGGTATTGATTATATAACACCTGAAAAACATGGCTCTTTATTAGTCAATAAACYGAATGATGATATAAAACATACAATTTCATCTCCTGTTGGGACTTGGACAGTTGAAAAAGATGAGGATACACAATTATTATACAAAACAAGTTCTGATGGCAATAGTATCAAAGTGAAAAAAGTATTATTTTGTGAACAAAATATTGAAAACACAGGTAATATAATATGTAGTTATACATTTATGTTTTAATTAAAAATAATTTAATAAATGAGTAAATGTAATATATATGGTTCAAAAACTTCATTGTATGATGTATGATTAAATTGAAGAAGCAAAATTTTTAATATAAATTTCCTTTAGTTTGCCATTACTTAAAAAAAAAATATTTAACTTATAAAGTTTTATCATACCAATATAATATATTTTATGTGCCTACCCATTTACATGGGTAGGTATGTATTTACATATATTCTTTATAATAATAATAAATTAAGTTAATTTTTTTTTATATTATACTATAGGATCATCTGGTACTACAGCTAATATTTTAAAACAGCCACAAGATACTACAATTTTACAAAAGCAGCCAAATATATCTGATGGTATGTGCACTATTTACTATTTAGTAATATACTATCTTAAGATATAATATAACACTTTTCTAGTGTTATACATACTAATGTATACTTATATTTTATGATATAAGACTACTGTATTATACCTTTCTAGTTTCTGATAAATTTTATTGATTTGACAGATTTTCAACGGTTCATTACTAACACTTTAGTAAATATTAAATATGACATTGGCAGCATTTTAAGCATTGTACAATCAAATAGTATTAACATTAATACATTGATGKCTAATAAAAATACATCAGCCAAAAATATCATAAATCTTGACAACATATTTCCTATTACAAATCACRATGAATTAGAGTCATTGGAAACCAAAATTAAGACTGATGAAAGCTTTAGAAATACATTGGTATTATGTTTTGTTTAATTCTTATAATTTTCTTCTATTATACAATTATCTTGTAAAATGTGTTTATTTTTTAGGTAACTCAGTTATCAGTGTTAATAGATGTTAATGATCTTGGAAATAGTGTTCGAAGAATTGTTTCAAGAATGTTAAATGATGTTTTACTCTCCTACTATTCGTTACATGGATTTAAATCAAAGTTATGTTTTTCAGGCTTACATACCTATCGAGTTATTATAGGTAAAACATTAAACTTTGACTTGTTTGGTACAATATAAC